AAAATGACAATGATTTTTGTTTTCATCATGGGATTACACTTGGCAAAAATTGCTTACCTATCGTGAGAATGACCGAAGATTGCTTCGTGTTCGTCGTTGTGCAAGAACAAGAATTAGGGCAGAAAATGAATGAGGTCATCAATTTTATATGAACTAATTTTGTAATTAATTGAAAAATAGGAGTTATTTTTGTATTTTGCCACCAAAAATTGAGGGTATTTTTGGTAGCAGATTGTTGGGATTAAATAATCTCTGGGGGAGGCCGGATGGGATAATCGGGAATTGGGTGATAATTTGTGAACCTCGCCTGCCATATGGGCGCCACGTCCTCAAAATCCTGTCCAAATCCCGGTATGTAAACGACAAATATGACAGGACTAATTTCTTATCCTGTCATGTCCCTCAAAGTAAACGAGGCCGAAAGGAATATTAAATAATTGGTGGAGAAAAGTTAAATTGAAGTTATCCAAGCATCATGAATTCAAGCTTTTCCTATTGTCATAGTTGATTAGAAAAAATTTAAATGAAGGTTAAGAATTGCAGTGTTTTTATGTGTGTGTTGTGTTATTATTATGGGAGATTTTACGGTCTCGTTACGGAATAACTTTATTTTGTCGGGGTTTATAACCGTTAGATCAATTATCCACAATAGTTACATGATGGTTCAAGGGTTATAAATCCCGAAGGAATCGTTCGGTAATGGGATGTAGTATTTTTCTATTATTGTAATCTGTTTATGCAATTTGGTTTTATGGATTCAAATAACATTTTGACACGTCAAGATTATAACTTTGCATAATATAAAATAAACTAGCGAATATTAATTAACCCAAAAGTTGATTGCTTTTAGGCTTTCATTCCAAAATCCGTCGTCATTAAGTGAGATTTAAAGCGTGAGGAACAAGATAAAGTTCAATGGTTATTAATTATTAAGTATAGATTTATATTCTTGATTTCATATATATGTAGCCCATTATCCATGCAACAATGTTAATATACTTTACCCTCATGTTGATACATACGATGATGTGGTTATATGAATAAGTGTTAACATTTTATTCATTAGGTGTCACGTATTCAAGTTTAGATATCATCAAACTATAAAATTCAAAACGTAAATTTGTATTTCTAGTCATGCTGGTTTAACGTCAAAACTTTTTTAGTCCAAAGATTGTAACATTTTTCTTTTTGATCCTGTAATTTAGTATTTTGCTGCAACTTCAATACTTCTGAAACTTAATAAATTGCTGATAAAAAATTCACCCCAAAATTTTTTTATTACATATTTAAGTCTTATAATTTATAATTTTGTTACAATTTTAGTTCTCAAATGACTAAAATTGGGTTGAATTTTTAAATTATTGGACCAAATAACAAACGTTCAGAGATCTTAGTACTAAAAACACCACTGAATCAAACCGACAAGATCAAAATTTAAAATTTTGCCGATTTGAAATGCTCCAACTTTTTTCTCTAAAACAAAAGAATTAATAAAATAGCTTTTAGCATATTTTAAGAATCACTTTTATAGAGTTTACTTTGCACAAACTCAGGCAGAGAATATATCCATTTGTTGAGCTTTCGATGTCAGATTGTATTTTTTGGACTATCACTATATAATTTCTACTTTAGACTGAGACAATAAGACATAACCGAATCTTATGATACAATTTAATTATGAAAAAAAAAATAAAAAATATTATATGGTGCGCTTTAGAATGTGCCAATCTGCATGCAATTCTAATTTTACAAAGAAAGTGGATAAATGAAAATTTATATATAATATATGTGGCCACAAAGGATACTAGAAAAATAATATTTTCAAAATATAAATACATACATTGAAAGTTAAAAGAAGATCATGCGTATAGTGTTATTTTGTGCATAGAGTAACAAGAGTACAATTGGAAATATATATATAGTGAAATAAAAAAAAAATGGCATAAAGCTAATTGTTAATGTTTTCGTTTTTTCATAATTGATATTATATTCCCGAGTAAATTACAATTTTAGTTATGTATGTTTCACTACCCCAACTTTTTCGTCCTTGTATGCTTACAAAAAGATTACAAAAATGTCATTTTTATAGATGAAAGACGAAATTGAAACATTTTTTTGCATAACATAAAAGACATTTTTATTGCGAAAAAAAAAAGATATTTTGTAACATTTTTGCAAACATACTAGACGAAATAAAAAACACAATTCAAAGA